CTCTTTTCCCCTCTCCCCCCCGCGCGAAACCAATCCGCTCCCAGAACCGTCCCGACGGGGAGGGGGAGACATAGCGAAGAGCCAACCCGCGGAGTCCGGGCGAAGAAGTGCCCACCTCTACCGCGGAGGGGAGGGGAGGGGAGGGGAGATGCTCGCGCATGCGCACCTCGCATCGCTGGGGCTGCGCGAGCCCTAACGGCCACTCCCCCGCTCGGGCTATCAGCGGCAGGCGGGGGGGGGACGGCGGAACCCACGCCCCTCCCTTGCCGCTCGGGGCTTCGGGGCAAGAGGGGCCGCGTCCCTCCCGGCGGCCCTGCAGGGCGAGGGGGCGGGCACCCCCCATTACAAGGCCCTGGCCAGGGCTTCTCCACCTCACCCGCTTTGAGATGTCCCAGAGGTCCCCAGCCAGCATTCCCTCAGCACCGTGCTGCTTGGGGAATTCTGGGAGTTGAAGTCCACACATCTTAAAGCGGCTGAGGCGGAGCAGCACAGCCCCGGACCACAAAGCCGCAAGTAGCTGCAATCGTTGCAGCAGTTCAATGTGCCACTGCTGGTGCTTGGCTGTAATGAAGCATCTCTCCCCACTTCGGTGCGCGGGCAACCCCAGAAAATGAGGTTCGTGGACTTGGCCGTGGTTCTGCCAACTGAGCCTCAGCAGCGCGTGTGCACACCGTGCGTGTGTCTAAACAGCTTGGCCACGCGTTGTGCAAAGAAACCAACCCCTTTGTATTGAACATGGGTGCATTTACACACAACTGCAGGCCGCTAAGAGCAGGTTTGGCATCACCGCTTTTCTAGATCAAACGGTGCCGCCTCCGGGGTATCCTCCTCTTGCAGCCTCCTTTGTGGGATGGGATTCCTCGTAAACCTGTTCCAGCCACTCGTTAAGAACTGTGAACATAATTCACGGTTGGCACCAATCTCCACTAAATCTCCACAAAAGCTACGGTACCGTATATAAATCATTACTTTTCTAGACTTGTGTTGGCAGAGCTGCACCCAAGTGGGTACACGGCACCATCTTTAGCGGCAGCACCCTATCAACCCATTCTTTGTTTTAAAGAAATAAGGAAAATCACCCAAGAAGCATTTATAGTGACTCCTACTGTGTTTGTGTAGTCTGTGTTATCCGAGGCACATACAGTGAAGCAACATAGGAAATTCCTTCAGTTCTTGTTAGCTGCCAAGTTTGTCATTGTAAAATGGAGGAAAACGAACAGACAAAAATCTTTCACTGGACCAGCAATACCTAAAAATACTGGGAACTGGGTGAAAAGCATACAGAACAAAGGGCTTTGAAAATGCTATAATGAAGGACATAACAGGTGAGTTCTGGCCAGCATTTCTCAGCTATTTTAAGATTTTCCCTACTCAACTACCTTCACCTGTGCAAACATCATTCTGGGCAGAAATACTGTTTAAAATGGTCAGAGATGCTCCTGCCTAACTGAGCATCTAAAAACAGCTCAACTCCTGTAATTTTCTTGGCAATAGCCCAGACGTGGCTTTCTACAGTCATCCTGGATGTTTCTCAATTTGTCAGTTCAGCCTAGAGTCGGGGGATTCTCTTGCTGCCCCCCATTCAAAGACTAACCAGCTGACTCTACTTAGCTACTGAGGCTGTGTGTGTGTGTACGCAAGCAACATTCTGTATTCTGTAAATAGTAAAATGATGAATCTCTCTCTCTGTGGCACTTACTTGATTTTTGAAAATCCGATTACAGGAGATAAGCTACAGTAGTTTGGTTCCAGTCAGAAATATTTAATCAGTGCATAACTTTAATAAATCACTGCAATGCTTAACTTGGAATATGTCTTTCTGAAAATAAAATCCAAGCTTGGGGCAACCACACCACCATCTGAAGGTGCCTGTTAGTTTAGCACCTTTCACTCAGCCAAAACCCTCAGGAAAGGAATTTGATTAGTAGTACTGGTTGATTCAAAGCCATTCTGGATGATAATGCATGTTTATTTATGAGGCTTATAGGTCCCTCCAATCACAAACGACTCTGGGCAGTGACCAAGTCTCCCTCTGTAACTGGGGTTGAAAACAACAAAATACCTCCTGTCCATAAAATCATATAAAAAAGAGCCCAGTGGTAAAACCTCATCAACTTAATCCAAGTTAAAAACCAAATGCTGTTGCCGGAGGGAGAAACTACATCATTATAATCCAAAGTCACAGCAAATGTGCCAAAGAGTTACTTCCATCAGGATATCGTTCAGGACTGTTCAGTCTTTGGGCATCCCCTAAGTTTGGAGAAGCTGTGCAGAATACACACTGGCATGAATGAAGATTCCTTTTCCCCACCCAAGGACCATGGTTCTGAAGCACACGCATCATTAACCGTCTCCAAATGCATTTGTCAGATTTATAATGAAGACTCAAGTTGGCATAAGCGGCATTCCTCCTCCCATTTTCCCCAACCGCCACAACAAGAGGTGGGCTGGGCTGAGAAAGAGCGACTGGGCCAGAGTCACCCAAAGAGAGAGGGTAATTTTTACAGGGTTTCCTGCACTGGGCTGTCTTTGGGAACAGATCCACAGGTGCAGGCCCAGGGACAGGAAAGAGTCAAGGGAGAGGCTGAGAGACCGGCTGGCTGTGGGAAATTGAGTTCTCCTCTCCACCCACCATGAAATGAATGAGCGGGAACAGACCCGGGCTGGTTCTAGATTGCAGTTTTTTGTACTGCCAATCAGGGCCCAGTGATGTATTCCCCTCAACTGGACATGCAAGTCAGTATCCTTCCCATATTTAGCACCTCCAATCAGGATTAGGCACAGAACTCAAAAGAGGGCCTAAACACAACTGATCTAGTCCTTTTCATAACCTCACTCGCATAATCTCATAATCCCAGGACTGCCTTTGCTTGAACCCAATCTGTCATTCATGACCCTAACAAATCATTTACACGCATACCCTGCTCCTGAGCTGGGTCTCCCCTGTCCTCCTCACCACCCTTTGGCTTTTTAGCACCCATTATACAAATTAGCCATGTCGGTCTGTAGAACGTCACCTTCATTTCAGATCAATCAGTGATCTCGCTTAACACAATCCATCTGTCTTATGTGTAGTTACTGACCCTGTCCAGTTTTCTGAAAGTTTACTAGGCATCTTATCAAATTATCCCTCCAGTCCCCCAAAAATGTAGATTAGCGCCCAGCTTGGTGTAAGAGGGGAATCTAGGGTGGAAAAAGCCTTGTATCACCTGCCTAGGACACCCTCCCTCAATACTATCCCACCAACCACACTGCTCAGAATTTGGATGCATGCGGTGTATATCCAATGGCAGAGAGACAAAATAAACAAGGTATATTTATTCATTAGAACCCACACCTCTTTACAAGAAACATGAAGTTACCAAGTATATGATTGATGGTTACAGTTTGTTAGTAGCAAAACTCATGGGTTGGAGCCCCCAAGCCCAGGCCCTTCCAAAACTCTGAAGAGCTACCCAAAGCCCCTGTACTGATGGTCCCCCTTTTCAACCTAGCAGCCCCTTTTCCCAGGAGATGTCATTCCATCATTTATCAATCACATATGAAGCAGTCCAAATGTCAGACTGCTATTCATCTTCTTTCCTATTATTATTCACTGAACTGTGTTAATGTTTTACTAAGCATGTAAAACTCCTGAGCATCCTGCTGCTGAAGAAATGCCTAGTATTGTTTTCTTACTTTAGACCAGTGTTTCTCAACCTTGGCAGCTTGAAGATGTGTGGACTTCAACTCCCAGAATTCCTGAACCAGCATAGCTGGCTGGGGAATTCTGGGAGCTGAAGTCTGTGTATCTTCAAGCTGCCAAGGTTGAGAAGCACTGCTTTAGACTGTCCCAATTCAGTTGTCTTAACTTAGTCTTCATGCTGTTGATCTCAGCATGTGTACGGTATATTCTAATAATCATGATAATAAATTCTGAACCCTGATTGCTTAGCATCTTTCCTGTTTTTCCATCTCTTTGCATTTCTTACATCAGCTAGGCATGACAATTGGTTATAAGAAATTAATATTAAATCCTTGAGCTGGCCTTGACTTATGATGCAGCATATTAGAGCTCAGTCAGTTATGACACCCCCTGCCACCAGACAGATCAGTGTATTAATTTATTATACATAAATAATATTGTAATTATAAGAATCCTAGTGTGTTAGTCCTGCTACATCTAAGACCCCATTCCATATAGAAACTTATCCCTCCAAGTTAATCCACAGCCACTGACAAGAATAGGCTGGTTATGTTTAGACATGCTAGGACACAGTTTGCTTAATTAAATGTAATGAATAACTACAGTTGGCTGGGTTCATATGAAACATTAAATTTTAAGCTATCATTTATAAACAATGGCAAGGTTCAAGCCATAAACAAGACAATCACATTTTGGTTTAAGTTGCAATTGGAAGCCAGCTGCTTAAGGAACCAGAGATTCACTCCATGTGGAACGACCGTATAGCTTTGCTGACATCAAGATACGCTGTCTGACCATGCTGTCCCCAAGAGATAATAGATAAAACATAACCAATCTATGCTGGCTTATGTTTTAACCATAGTTTGAAGCCGCAGGGGTCCAATTAACACATTCTAAGCCACAGCAGCTGGGTTCATATAACAAGGTATGTCACAGCAACAGCAAAATCGCGGCACAACGCTAAGCCAGAACCAAGCAAAACACCGTGAACCTAAGAGCAGGATCCAGGGAGGCGAGAGGTTGGGCTCTCTACCTTTGAACGTGCTCGTGCAGTGGCTAGGCAGCCATCTGTCCGGGATACTCTCCACGGCAGATAGTTGAATGGATGGCCTCAAGGGATCTTTCCAAATTCTAATTCTGGTTCCAAGAGGAACCTTCCTTGTCACAAAGAGTTCACACATTTATCCATGACTGAATTACTTAGCCCTGCCTCCCAGCTTTGCATGACACACTGAGCAATAAACTGACCACAAAGGCTGAATTTACACACCATGGATAGCCAGTGCTTGGGCCAGTGTGTTATGTGAATCCAGCCAGCCTGCTTGCTATCCAAAAACTCCGGATCTCCAGCCGGGAACACCCTAAATGGCTGGCTTAACTGTGTGTGCTAAATCAAGAATGGGGGGGTGGAGGGTATTATTTATAACCTATTATGATGTGAACCAGAACACTGTAGGATGCTCTACAAGTCATGGTGGCCAAAATCATGCAAACCATAGTATTTGCTGACTGCCCTGCCACACACCCATCAGCTCAACTGGATGTCAGCAGCAGCGTCCAAGCTGAAGCCTCACTGGTCCTGGTGGAGGTAACAGACTGAGCCTATATGTTCACACATATGCTAATTTAAAATAAACTATACAATGCTTTGACAGTCCAGTTCCTAGAACGTGCTGAGACATAATGTGGTTTGGCTGGTTTAACACGGCTTATCCGTGTTAACCATAGTTTAGACTTTTGCAAGCTATGCAAACAGAACTCTCCCTCATGCTCACAGAAAACCAAAAAAAAAAAAAAAGGTTGGAGGAGATTTTCAGGAGTCTATTCTGGTCTTCCTCTCCCAGCTGAAAGTTTGTACAAAACATACTCACTTCCAAGTACCTATTTCTCAGAATAAAAAATTACATGCACAGACACTATTTGGTTTGGCAATCTTTATATATCCACAATACATAATAACCATGCACAAAATCCAAGGGCGTATTTACAAGGGGAATTGCACTTAACAAAGAATCTGCAGGAAGCAAATAAGAGAAAAAACCTTGACTCCTCCATCACCCCACGACCTCCAGAGGTTTTACTGGCCCCAGGAGTGTTCAACCAAGCAAGGGAAGAGGTTTCACAGCCTTTCCAGAGTTTCACCAGCACCCTGGGGCTGATTCCAAGCCCCAGTATTTTGGGAGGAGGAGCCCCTGTGTCATTCCCCAAGTCAGAACTGCTGCATGGCCCTCTTCAAGGCCCTCATAATGACTGCTGCTGCTGCTGCTGCTGCTGCTTTTATCAGAGAGACCTCGCGTTCAGGTCTGGGTTCTTGAGGCAGAGAGACCTCAAGGGGTTTACTTTCCCTGTTGCTGGGTGCCAAAGATCGTTCTAGCAACCCTCCTTGCTCACCAAGCACCACACGGCCAGGGGAGCACACCATCTAGACACAAGAGGGAAAGGGAGCTGTTTTTCCCAAAGCAGGGGCCGGGCAGAAGCCGCCCAGGGTTTCTTTCTCCTCTGCCTCAGCCCTGGGGCCTTCAGCACCAAGGGTTCCAGCAGCAGAGGGGGCAACAGAGAGTTAGCAATAGCAAGTCTAAGGCATGGGGAGCAGAGAAGAACCCACTCAGGCAAAGGCTAAGGAGCACAAAGGAGAATAGGGGGCTTCCAGGTTTCTCCTATTTAGTTTAGCCAGACTACTATCCATAGCAGGGAGATATTACCATGGAACTGTTATTTAAAAACACAAGCATGTAGTGTGTGAACTAGTAACTTGCCCTCCTTGGAAGGACTCCTGAGGTCTTCCGTGAGGACTTCTTCCGACATCTCCAATCTTCTTCTCTCCCTTCGTCCTCTTAGGGGCTGTTTGGGGTCTTCTTGGAATTACTTCTCAGCTCCCTTGAGCCAAGCCTCCAGAACCGAAGTCAGAGGGGAGTCACCTGAGATTGACTCCTTGCTGTGGGAAGAAGGATCCAGTGACTATTCCAAAGCTCAAGTTGGATGCAATTTAGGGTGGAGCCCAGGGCCCAAGAAACAGGATAGCTTTTAATCCCACAGTGAAACCTTCTCTCCCATAAAATTGAAAGTAAAAAACTATCTCATCTGCTAGGAAGTCTAGGCATTTGGATCCAAGTGGAAAAGAGGCTTCAGGTCTGGGGTGGATACACGAACTGTGCCCATCAGCAGCCCTTTAAGGAAGCCATGCGGTGGGGCTGACAGGTGCAGGGACTACATCCGTGCTGAATCTGAAGTACCTTTCCCACTTTCTATCCAAATACTACAGTACCTCTAGCCTGGAAGGGGAGACCCAAACCAACCGACTAGGTGCCAGTTCTCTTAAAGTGGGTGGCTGTTCATGTACTGTATAGGGAGTCACATTTCCTCTGCCAGCTACATAATGGCTGAATCTGCACTCTGGACTGCCTTGCTCAGTGGAAGAAACAAATCCCTCATAACATGCGGATATGACGGAAAAAAGTGCTGAGGCAACAGCAACCAGCACCACCTCCTGCCAACTTACGCAGGGTCTTCCACACGGAAGACGGAAGGGCTCCAAGAAACTGTCTGAGATAAGCATGAAGGCCTGAGCGGCGAGCTTGCCTCCAGAACTGTCCTCAGAACAAACTGCCCTCCCCGCTTCGCCAAGCCACGATTACGAAGTCTTTGTGGCTTGGGCAGACTGCAACATCATTCAACATCCAAAGAGGGACAAATGGCCAGGCTCCAAAATAAATTATCTTGTTTTCTTACATGCATTATGACTCAGCAACCCCACTTGAAAAGCAGACTGCCAATCCCAGGGAAAGGGCCACCTCTGTTCCAGAGATTAGCTGGCAGGGCACCAGCAGCTTCCTTCCTTCCCAGGCTTTCTCAATAGATCAGAGGTTAAAAAATTCCAACAGCAAAATGGGAATTTTTTATTTTGTCAACTGGCTGAAAAAACATGTGCTGTTTGAGAATCTAGGCAAGAGTTTAGTGGAATGTAGGTGTTATCTTCTGAAGAATTTTTGGCCAACCAGGAAAACAGAAGCTGTGGCAGCTGTCCTGATCACATGAACATGCCCCAGGTGAATGGGGCAAGACCAAAATTTTGCTTACCACACACACACACACACAGAGCACTGCTGGCTGCCCAGCAATAACTGCCTCCTAGCCAGAGACTGTTGTGACGACTTGGAAATCCACACCCCACCAGTTATTTTCATCCTTGCTTCAAAAACTGAACAGCACAAGAACTAGTGGAAGATAGGAAGTTCACTGGAACCAAGATCTTTTCTTGCAAATGATGGCTTCCCAGCAGACATTCTTATTTTGGATACATAGTATTTTAACCCTGCCAATGTTAGATTTCCAGTGCACCGAGTACGGTAAGAATTTAGGGGGGGGAAGCCTTAAACCCTCAGGGGAGCAAGATGAGAGAGAAACAAGCCAGGAAGGGTGGGGTTCAAAAGGGCGAATACAAACGCTTGCATATCAGGGAGGTAAGAAATAAAGAGCAAATGACCTGCAAGGGGATAATACAAATTCCAAGATGCTCAAACGTTACAAAAAAGGAGCTATCAAGTATCTGATTCTCTACAACTATTCATCCAAGTAACCTTACCAGTGCAAGTTATGTACAAGGCATGAAAAATATTGCTTCACACTCAATCCGAAGGGGTTTGAAGGGCAGAGGAAGGCTGAGGAGGAAAGCAACATGCAAAGACAGAATCTTGGAGATACTTGAGGAAGCATTCCTACAGTGCACAGGTGAAGAGGGATCACAGGGCAGCTCCCAGAAAGCCATCAGCTGGCACTTCATGTACTAAACTCATCAGCATGATGCCAGAAAGTGACCTCTCGGAGCCAGTTCCCAGGGCCCGCACGCAGTCTTGGTGGCGGCTCGGGAGAAGGCCGAGATCTCTGCGCACAGACATACTTCACTGTCCCAAACTGAAGGGGGGGAACCAAGAGAAAGAAGTGGGCTGGTCTGAGGGAAACCAGGGAAAGCGACGCGACCAAACCCACTTGCGTTAGAGCAGGAAAGAAGGCCAAAGAGAGGGAGGTGGACAAGCCACAGAACCACGTCCTCATCACTGAATTTCAGGTGTGAGTGTGCAGGCGTTTGTATACACCAACAGGACGTAAGACCACTACCAAAGTGGCTCTGAGAAGCCAGAAAAGGGTGGTTGTTTCCTTTGATTTAAAAGTTCTTTTGTGCCTGCAAAACAGCCTCAATGGAAACTGAGGACAGCGCTCCCTGTGTGTTCCTCAAGCACAGTGATTTCTCCCGTTGGAACAAACAGCCCACATCCTTCCCATTCGTGTAAACAGAACAAACACACACAAGAAAACATTTCCTGGCTCAAGGCGGAATTTCGAACGGCCCCCTTCCCCATCACTACATTCAAAGCTAGTCACAGGCAAGGGAATGTTAGCCCTCTTGATAATGCTCTAAAATGGAAGGGAGGGAAGAGGAGTCAGCAAAGGACAGGAGAGATGCCAGGGAAGTGCGCACACGTCTCCATCTGAAGGACAGACCAAGGAAAGGACAGGCAGCAGCCGAGGGATGTCACAGGTTCTGGCAGCACTGGAGTTTATTGGATTTCTGTCCGTCGGTGGTGGGGGGCACACTGATGTCCACCACGTTGTTTCCAGGAGACTCGTCATGGGCAGACCGGTCTGCAATCTGCTTCTGGGACACAATGCGATAAATCTCTGCAAAAAAAACCAGGATGGTTCTGATGAGAATGTATTTCTTACACAAAAAGAATCCAGCCCCCATAAGCAGCTGGTTAGCACACCCCAGCGAGCGCGATCCATGCAGGCTGGGATCACACAGTCCCAGATTAGGGCAAAACAGGGTTGCATAGTTGGATCCAGCATGTTGCAGGATTTAGTCATTCACTTAGCATGTGCTGTGACCCAGGATATAGCATCCTTTACGGTTTGGGCACTGTTATGAAAAGTCAGCAATTACTTATTGCATTTATTCAATCCAACAGCTCTTGGTGGCTTACATAATATATAATATAGCAAAGAAGTTAAAACAGCAACAGTATGATTAAAAATACTAATAAAATAACAAACATAAAACCCCAACCTGAAAGGCACAACACAACTAAAACAAAATACCCCAAAAATAAAATAGAATATAAAGGAGTAAAAGATGGCACAGTGCAAGAACTTAGTTACAATGCTCTCTGAAATAGTTCCATTTTTAATGTATTTCTGAACATCAACAAGCCTCATCTCCACTGGGAGACCATTCTAGGGAGATGGCTTCAGTTCTCTTTGCCTCTCTGAAGTGTGGAACAGCATGTTTCTCCTGTGTGATCTAGCAGGTAGTCCTGCAGGTAGCCAGGTGCCGAGCCATAAAGGACTTTATGGATATAAAACAACACTGGAAATTGCACACGGAAACCAACCAGTAACCAGTGTAGGGTATGCCGTGTTGGTGTTCCGTGTTCCCAACAGAACTGGCTGCAGTTTCCAGGGGGCCACCACAGGCAGCCTCCCGCAGAGCATATTATAGTTATCTAACCAAGTAATACTGGGGTCTGAGTCACCACACCCAAATCTCTGCACCAGGTAAGGCCGCAACTGGTGCACCAACTAAAGGTGGACAAAGGTAGCTTTAGCCACAGCTCTCAAAGGAGCCTGAGTCCCAAAGCTGCCGTGCAAATTGATCTCAGCAGCCAGGTGGGCAATCTCTATGTTGACTCCTCTCCAGCAGGAAATTACAAGGCCACTGGATGACAGTCCACTGAAGCAATAAAGGACGAGAAGTGAGCCCACTTCGCCTCCCTTATCATCACAGTGTAACCCAAACACGGGCATGCACCCATGCTCAGATTAACTTCTCATCTTCCTTCTTTGGCGCTCCAAGCATCCACCCAGAGTTGTTGAGAGTCAGGCAGTATACAAGTTTAATAAATTATCATCATCATCATCATCATCATCACTGGCACCTGCATGTCACAGAGAACCTCAGGAAAACAAGATACAAACCAGGATTGGCCCCTAGAAAGAGACTTCTCAGGAACAATGGTATCCACTGCTCAGCTTCCCTCCTGTTGCCAACTGCTCACCAGGTGCCGCCCCAAGCTGTCTGCTGGAAAGCTAGGGAATTCCCCAAGCATCCTCTGGAAACCATCTGCCCATTACCACTCATGCCGCTGCATTCTGGACCAGCTGTCGCTTCCAAGTGGTCTCCAAGGGCAGCCCTATGTCCAGTAGTGCATTGCAACAGTTCACATGCAAGGTGACTAAGGCATGAGTGATCATGAGAAGAGACACCAAGCAGGAAGACCCCAAAACTGCACAGCAGTTTTGTCTGAGGAAGTGACAACCTATTTAGAATGAAAGATGGAAAATCCCTAGCACCAGATGAATCAGAAACCCATAGCCACTTGGTCCTGTCAAGGCTAAACTTATGCCTGTTCCTCCCCACTCATATACCAACAGCCTCCAGGCACTGGGTCAAGACCTTGAGAGCACTGCTTGGTTAACCAGGACTCAAGAGATGCAACTGAGTATCACCAGCATACTGATGATACCTGACCCTGTGTCAACGACTGATCCCACCCAATGGCTTCATGCATATGTTAAACAGAAGCAGGGAGAGATTGGAGATGAACATCTCCCCCATGAACAATGATAGAACTAATCCTGGAGGAAGAAGAACCACTGTAACACTGTGCCTCCCATTCCCAGGCCCCATAGTTGGTCCAGAAGGATACTACAACTGATCACACCGAAAATCAAGGAATACCAGGATGGTGGCACCACCCTGATCCTGGCTCTGCCAGAGCTCATCAACAAGTGTGATCAGTATTGATCTCGTACTATGCCCCAACCTGAAACCCAACTGAAACAGATTCATATAATCCACTTCTACAACCATCTAAAGCTGAAACCCAACTACCTTCTCAACAATTTTCCTCAGAAAAGGAAGGTTGAAGACTAAGTGAAAATTGTTCAGAACTGCTGGGTCCAGCAACGACTTGAGGAGGGGACATGTCACCTCAGCTTGAACGGGAATGTTGTCACACAGCAGGGAGGCTACTACAGCAGCAACAAAGCTCTTGGCTCCCTAGAGCCCACCTTCAACCACAGAATCTGGCATGTGTTTATCTGCAGCGCAGTGCCTCTGAAAGCCATTAAGGCTTCCTGGATAACAACTACTACCCCATCCCCCTGCTCTGGGTTTGTTGCTGGTGCCACACTTGAAACCCCAGTGGGCACATTTCTGAGAGGGAAGCACCACCCTCTGGGCCCACCCAACAACAGGTGGAGCCCAGGACCACTAAGCATTTGGTTACCTGGAATTAAGGCTGAATACTATGGGACAGGAGGGTAGAACTGGTTTCAGATATTGACTCTGCCTTCCCTGTGATTGGCCCACCCGCAGATTCTCACCACATCTGCCTCACTGGCTCATCATCCATATACAGCAACAAGCAATAACCCAAGGCCCCTTAAGGCGCCCTCTCCACCTACTCTATGGCCAAGGAAGGGCCTTTGCAACTGCCTTCTTCCTCTCACCTAGGAAGCCTTTGCACCAACGCCAAGGCATCCTTGATGCAGGGCTCCAGGTCCAGCTGCCACTACAGCCCCACACAACTTGTGTCACACTTTGCTAGCCCTGGCTTGCACCACCAGTCCTTCTGCACACTTCATTTGAACCTCCTCTCACCAGGGTGAAACGCTGCTTCAGTCCATCCAAGGACACTTCCACCTGTGCCAGATTGGCAGCTCATGGCTAGTGGCCGTGAAGACAGAGGTAGCTGCGGTCTCTGTTGCTGCCTCACTGTCAGTCCTCTCCACCATTGCCCAGCAATGGACCACCCAATCTTCCATCCCGACTCTGTCTCCAGTTCTGTGTCTTGTTCTCTCCTATCAGGCTCCAAACCTTCCAGTCACCTTGGCATGTCTCCTGTCCATCTTCTCTCCTCCCTTCTTCCATCACCCTCCAAAGCAGTACAGCCACGTCTAACGCCTCACCAATCCGGTTTGCTCCTAACCAGCAACATCCACTCATTTACAGTATACCACCCAAATTCTACCCCCACTCCCAAACAAAGCGACAAAGCAGGCTTAATGGTGAAGCTGCCTGTCAGGTGCCAGCATGTTTATGTGAATGTAACATCCAGTGTAAAAACTCATTCTCCATTTTACACATGCTTGATGGCCCATTTGGATTTAACACACATTCTCCTCTTCCCCCTGTTAGTATATTAAATTGACAGCATAGCAAAGAAATTCTATCCTTTGGTATATAGCTTTCTACCTGCAACCTGAAGTGTTATACTCAAAATAATTAGACCAGGAGTTGTTCCTAAACATTTGCATGATTACAGAATTTTATCTGATAGGAGAGAAAACACATGCAGAGAGAGTTGTAAACAAGATGCGACGTGGCCAAACTTGGCAAGAACCACACTGCAGGTTTTCCAGCTGGAGCACCTGAGGATACCACTCAATTTCAGTCAGGCAGCAGACAGAAGACAAGCTCCCCTTCTTGATAAGACCTGATTCCAACAAGCCCATCCTACGAACCGCATCACAATTCCTCCCCTGTCAGTCAATTAGGTGTTTGCCAGATGGAGGCAAGTGACAGGAATCACAATATCACATCACAAAGCTTTTGCCAAAATTCAAGCCCTCATTGCGCCCCTGCAGGACAGCAGCTATGCCTGAAGTCCAGAGGAGAGTTTCCATTCCTTTACCTGTAAGGATGTTCTTGAAGGCTTCCTCTACATTTGTTGAGTCAAGTGCTGAAGTTTCAATGAACGACAGATTGTTTTTTTCTGCAAGGGGCAAAGAGGAGAAGTCATTTCAATGATACTGGCTACTTTGTCCACAGAGGAGAAGGCACTCAAATTGGGAAAGGCTGATTTAATGTATAGCAGGATTTTCTCCCAAAGTCTTAGGATCAGTTAACTGGAGGGAAAATTAATACTGGTCTGGTTTACATATATCCAACACAACCAGCTGGAGTCAGCCTCCAGCCTGACCAGACAGTTCTATTTCTTCAGTTTTAGATGAAAAACCATTTGCTGTTACATCCAAGATTGATACTATGACAAGCCCTAACTATGAACAACAAAACAAAGAGAGTTTCATTAACTATGTTTTCAAATTGGCTTAGTTTTGCTAACTATACTGAAGAGGAATCAAAGTTTGTCCAAGTCAAACTGAACAGGAGAAGCCCACAGGGTTCAGCGCAACTTGCTACTGTAATGTTAAATCAGCCTTCCACACCCTGCCTCTGACCGATACTCTGAACTACAATTCCAATGAGTCTCAGCCACCATACCATAAAGATAGATCAAGGCCGCTCTTGAGGCAACAGTGACTAACCCACTTTGTCACACAGTGGCCATTTTAACTTTGAGGGATTGCAGAGTATGCTGCTGTCGCCTGAGAAGGGTCAACACAAAAATGTAGCAGTTCTAAGAAACATTAAGGGTTGGCAAGTTCAAAGAGGTATTTTGTTTATGCTCAAGAGCACAGGTACCTTTAGCTTCTCCACCTTCTGGGCCTGTTGTTCACCAACTTTCTTCTCTAGCAGATGGTGGTGGGCCATTTCAGGCAGGGACTTATTCTAGACTTTACTGGAGCAAATGCACTTTGGATGCTTCAAAACCACTGCAATCCTTCAGCAATGTGCACAAAGCTTTTGTGAGGCGTGCAAGGTTTTTTTTCTTCTACCAAGGGGCCAGTTCACAAAAACCTCTGAGCATGTTTTAGAACAGAACCGGTGCTGCTTCATGTACTATATACTAAAAGAAGTTAACAGCCCCAACCTGCAAAAGCACGGGCTTCATCCGTCGGCACGGCCCTCAGGTGACGCAGATCGCTCTTGTTCCCCACTAGCATAATGACAATATTATTGTCTGCGTGATCCCGGAGCTCCTTCAGCCAGCGCTCCACGTTCTCGTACGTCAGATGCTTGGCAATGTCATAAACCAGAAGTGCCCCGACAGCACCACGGTAATAGCTGAAATTATTTTAAGAGTATTATGCAAACTAAAAGTCAAACACTACATAACCTCTTGACAACAGCACAAACTATGAGTGGCCCATTTACAGTCTGCTAAGATCTTGTAAGAGCACGCAATGTTCTTAAATCTCCCACAGTCCCTTAGACAGAGATTGCTGGTTAACCACATACTAGCCCTCCCAAGCTGTCTTTCAAGCCTTACGCAGAGGTGATGGCACGATAGCGCTCCTGGCCTGCTGTGTCCCAGATCTGGGCCTTTATTGTCTTCCCATCCACCTGGATGCTTCTAGTGGCAAACTCCACTCCAATGGTGCTTTTGCTCTCCAGATTGAATTCGTTCCGTGTGAAACGGGATAATAGGTTACTCTTCCCCACGCCGGAGTCTCCAATCAGCACCACTGTGAGGGCAGGAAAAGACCACACTCCATCAGTATTCATTCATTCATCATCTTATAATGGGAGGGAGGGAGGACGAGCTAGGCAATGCAAAGGGCACCGCTGACAAAATGCACACAAAAGGACAGTGTGGTAAGAGAGAGCCTTTAAATTATAGTTGAGTGTCCTGCTTTTCTGTTCCCTCATATCCCTTTCAATGGTTTCAATGCTACATTTTCTATTCCACCTTTCCACCCAAAATTCATCTCTTTGAAAACAACACAGGTTCTACTTTGGCTTCTTCAGCTGATTCCCTAGGTAGCATGGTGTCAGTTCTGTTCTTCCTACTCCATCAAACCCAGATCTCCAAAATGCTTTATTATTTACCTTATTATTAATACATCTTAGTTTTTGGCTTTAGCTTTCCTCAGCAGTTCAGGGTAGGTTATACAGCACACCCTCCCTCCCCACCCCCTCTTCTTTTTCCCCCACAAAAGACTCTCTCAGGCCCATTGAAAAACAATGACTACCATTCAGTGAATGTCCATAGCTGAAAGTTGACTGATCCTAGATCCTCAGGCCTAATCTAACAGCCAAACCATTAGCCCATACTGTCTCCACTTCCTGGATTCTGTTACTACTTTTTCATTCAAAATGCAAATTGACACTTGCTGCTAAACAGGCACATGCTATTTTGGAAGGCATTAACAAGAGCACTAAAAACTCCAGATCATGGGAAGTAACTATGGCATTCTGCTCTGCCCTGGGAAGCCCTTACACGGAATACCAGGTGATCTCTAAGGTCTTTCCCAACTCTATGATTTTTCTGTTTTGCTTTTATGTCTGCTACATAGCTTGTTGTTTCAAAGGTACAGAAAGGGGCAATTACTTTTACACAGCACTGAATTCCTGAACGCAAGATCTAGAAATGTTACGCAGTTCACCTTCTGTATTTGCAAACGTCATTAATATCTACACATTTTAGAGCTACTCTACTAAGAATGAGAAATTTGCTTTTGAAGGAAAAACAAAAGCCGTAATTCCTTAAATGGGTTTTTTGTATCGATTATCGCATTCTGTGTTTCGTTCTTTCAGAGCTCAGTTCAAACAGTACAAAGCCCAGGCCTAGCATGTGCACGGAATGGCCTTACTCTGCACGTGTCAACGTGACCTCTGAGGTTATGCTGAAAATCCTCCTGTTAAGCCTAACCTTCCATGCAGGGTGACAAGGATATGTGGAATTATCCTCTGGAATTATCTTCCCCTGGAAACCTGAGGACTCTTCCCAAGGCTCACATGACTTTGAATACACATACTGATATTCTGGGCTGGGAGCCATATGGAGGAATAAGTCTAAGAAGTGGTGTAATGGAACACAGCTGCATTACTGCACTCCTGGAAAGCAACAAGATGGAAAATGAACGCATACGTTTATTATCCATTTTTAATTTTACACATTGGTTTGCATGGGATCTGTTAATTTAAAACAGTATTTCATACAAACACTAGCCTTCATAACTACTATGTTCTATCAAAAATTAGAGATTCCCAACAAGAAACTCGATCCGAGGAAGATGCTTCCCCAGCAAACTGACTGGACCAGAAGCACAGGTGAATCTTAGGCCCAGTAAGCTTGGTTTGACTGCCTTTACTGCCCTCTGACCTGCTGTATCCTGATCTTTGCTCACTGCGTATGATACAGTACGACACAAAGGTAGACCCTCTGGATGAAGCAGCTCTCTAGAGTATCGTGGGGAACCTGCATTCTGGCGGGAAACCTAATCTGAATACAAGCCCTATTCAAGCAGGTCTGCACCTTAATGCAAAATCAGCTGTCTGGGGAAACTTTTGCAAGAGATACAGGCACACATCAGGCAGTACCTACACCCATCTGTGTGTGAAGGTCAATGAAAACTATGCCTTTATCTACCAGCGCTATGTGGAAGGCATGTTTCCATGTGATCTACAGTAGGTTGCCAAGCATTTCAGACTCCCAGTGGTTTTCACCCCTCCTAAACTATGCTGTTCAAGTCAAAAAAATTTGGCTGAAACCAAAAACAGTTTGTCTACAATTCCCAACTCTAGCAAAGGTTTCCTTCAGTCAAGCTCAACTCCTAGAGACCTCCAGGAGATACCCATCTCATGTCTCTGGCACCAGTACAGAAGTGATTTGCTATTGCCTTTTTCCAGGATGCCTTTTTTTTTTTTTAACTTTCCAGTACAGTGTATAGCTCTGCATTTCCTGGTGGTCTCCCATCCAAATACTAATCAGGTCCAACCTTGTTTAGCCTTTTCTCAAAGACCTCCTGAAGTTACTAGGTGCTTCCACTTACTTAGATTAGTTCTGTTAATGAAAACAATAACTAATTTCTGACCTAACAATGTTCTTAGAGCTACGTTGTTGTACATTTATGCATTTGGCTCCTGATATAGATTTTTGTGCTGCTTGGCGCATTTTAGAGATCTAGTAAAAACAGAAGAGATTGTTCAAGTCTAAAGACTACAGACAATTTATGGTAAACAGCTTAAACAGTAACATCATCTGGACTACGGAGACAACAGAAACTCTTAGAATGAAACAGAATAGTCTGATCACTGTGCAAATAATGCTTTCAACCATAAAACACATGCACAGAATTAAAAATACGAAGGATATTTAAACAAAAATAAATACCTGGGAGTAGAAAACTCCCTCAAGGTCCTGCTGTGAGCATAAATAAGTGCACCCTGCATCAACCAAAAAGCTTAGTGGGTAAAAGATTTATCTTCTCTACTACAGCTTCGATTTTGCTTTAATTCCAATAGTTATTTTCTGTGCCCATTCTCACATTCTACTTGCTTTCTGCAGTGACTCTCCATGGCTTAAACACATACGCAGCTCTAAAGAAAAGTGAGCAGGAACAGGCAACAAACATGGGAACGGGCTGCTCTTCAGTTATGGGCCACTTTCACAGGAATCAGCAAACAATCCTAAAACAATGCACTCCAAGGTCACCAGTGCTGGGCTGGAGGAGTTCTCTGAGTTTGGTTTCTAATTTGCCGAATTTCATTACTTGCCCAAGTAACGTCTTCGTGCTAACCAAGGTCAGAGAACTCCTACCACCTCACATTCTGAGCCCGAGACCCACACGGTCTCTAGGTCAGCGTCAGTTGCTGACAAGCTGGATGACGCTAATTGCAACTCGAATGTTACTGGAGGGTCACCGCAGCCCAGTGCTGGTAGCCTCTGCGTTTACAGACCCCCCAATGCGCCCACTGCAAACAGCCACTCCTCCTCCCCGACACCTTGCAGCCGTCCTCTGACAGCCTCCCCCCAGTTCCCTGGTGCGATTACTACACTCCTGTAGCCCAGCCAGCACTAGCGTGAGCATCACACAAGCTTTTCCGTGGCACGGCTCTGGCACACTTCACTGGGCAGACCCAGAGGCAGCAAGGGGACAACAAAGATCTACAAAAGGCGTTCGCAACGGTCGTGACTGAGAAGTCACCCCTGAAAGAAGGGGGATCTCACCAGACGGTCGACAGAGCTGCTCCCCATTCACCAGGGGGGAACGAAGCAAGCGCAACCAATCCGAAGAGTCCATTCAAAACAGCACCCACTATTATTATTAGTATTAGTATTAGTATTTAGATTTATATGCCCCTCCACTCCCAGCGACTCTGGGCGGTTTTTACCCCTTCGGGGCACACCCAAATGGAGAGCCGGGTACGGCCACCCCCTATTTTTAAGAAGGCTGCCCACTGGCTTGAAATGGTGCCCCTTCCGAACGGCGTTATCCTTTTCTCCGTTTGTCTTGCCATTTTAAAAACGAGGGGAGGGTGGAAGGGCCGGGGGCTCCCTCGTCGCCTGATCACCGCGCTGGGAGCCCCCGAGAGGAGGCTTCACCCGCGCCCATTCCTCGAAGACCGCGCGGGGGATTCAACCGGCCTGGCGGGGAGGCGGGAAGAGAGCGGTCCGCCCCCGAAGAGGCGGGTGGGGAGGGGGCACGGGGTCTTTGGCGGGGGGTTTCACGGGCCAGCCGAGCCTCCGT